GCCTTTCTCTAAAAGCACCACCGGTTATTGTTAAATTCGGTAAGAATATAAAAATAACTTGCCTTGCATGTGAAGAACAGTAAGAATAATGCAGAATAGCAATGCATCTCGACATTTAAGAACCAAAATTAAAAACAAAAGTATATGTTAATACAACATAATTGGGGTTTGGCGAATCATTAATACATATGTTGTCAAATGATATGTATTCTTCAATTTGACACAGGACAAATTTGAATTTTAGGAAAATATTTGACACAAACCAATCCATGCTGACTCCCAGCATGTAGGGGAATGGTTGCTGACGACAAAACGTTTGAAAAAAAGAAACGTTTAACAAAAACGTAACTTTACACTCACGTCTGTAGTGAATCACTAAAACGCACCCTACATGAAATGCAGGAGCATCATGAAATTGTGTATCACCCTGAGCTGAAGCCTATGACTGTAGGCTTGTAAATACCACATCAATGATACCCCACATGCATTGCTTTAAGCCACTGTAGACGACAAGAGAATGAAAAGACTGACAGAAGCTCAACGACACAACGCCATCGGCCGTTTACAAGGACGGACATCGCAGCATGATGTGGCAAGACACTTCAGCGTGTCCAGACAGACCATCTCGAACCTCTGGACCCGATACACAAATACTGGAGGTGTTAATGACAGACCCAGGTCAGGTCGACCTGGAGTTACCACCACCGCCTAGGATCGCCACATCCGGTTGAGACATTTTCGTTCAAACACCATGGCCGCATCATCCACAACAATCTTAATCCCTGGACTGCACACAACACTTCAGCAAGTGTATCAAAACATTCCTCAAGACAACATTCGGCATCTCCTTTCTTCTATGGGTCACCGCTGCCAAGCTGTTATCGACATTTTATTCTGACCAAGTGACTTTAATAGCCCTCTGTGGTTTTACCAAACACTTTCTGGATAATCATGTTTTGGAAATTTGTAAAGTGATGATTTTACTGTAACTGAGCAATGATGTCATGTTTGAATCGATTAAATGCACTCAGTAAGTAAACTCGAAAACACCATGTCAAGTTTCTTTATTTTGAAGAGTATATATAATATGCCCGGGTCACTAGCATAACCATGGAACACCGTTGTCCCGAGGGTAAACATGGAACACATTGTCCCTAGAGTAACCACATAACACGTTGTCCCTCGCGTAACAATGCAACACGTTATCCTTAGCGTAGCCACGAAACATGTTATAACTCGTGTAACAATGCAACACGTTGCTTCTATCAATGCAACACGTTGTCCTGTTGTACTTAGCGTAACCATGGAATACAATGCAACATGTTGTCCATAGCGCAACCATGAAACACGTTGTCCCCTGTGTAACCATGGAACATGCAACCGGTTGTCCCCAGTGTAACACTGCGACGTGTTGTCCCCAGAATAACAATTCAACACGTTGTCGCTAGTGTAATAATGCAGCATGTTGCCCCCAGTGTAACAATGCTACATGTTGTCACTGGTGTAACATGCTACATGTTGTCCCTAGTGTAACAATGCAGCATATTGCCCCCATTGTAACAATGCAACATGTTGTCCCCAGTGTCACAATGCAACATATTGCCCCAGTGTAACAATGCAACATGTTGTCCCTAGTGTAACAATGCTACATGTTGTCCCTAGTGTAACAATGCAACACGTTGTCCCTAGTGTAACAATGCAACATGTTGTCCCTAGTGTAACAATGCAACATGTTGTCCCTAGTGTAACAATGCAACATGGTGTCCCTAGTGTAACAATGCAACATGTTGTCCCCAGTGTAACAATGCAACATGGTGTCCCTAGTGTAACAATGGAACATGCTGTCCCTAGTGTAACAATGCAACATGTTGTCCCCTGTGTAACAATGGAAGATGTTGTCCCCAGTGTAGCAATGCAACACGTCCCTAGTGTAACAATGCAACATGTTGTCCCCAGTTTAACAATGGCAAGATGTTGTCCCCATTGTAACAATGCAACATGTTGTCCCCAGAATAACAATTCAACACGTTGTCCCCAGTGTAACAATGCAACATGTTGTCCCTAGTGTAACAATACAACATGTTGTCCCCAGTGTAAGAATGCAACATGGTGTCCCTAGTGGAACAATGCAACATGTTGTCCCTAGTAAAACAATGCAACATGTTGTCCCCAGTGTAGCAATGCAAGATGTTGTCCCTAGTGTAACAATGCAACATGTTGTCCCCAGTGTAACAATGGAAGATGTTGTCCCCAGTGTAACAATGCAACATGTTGTTCCCAGTGTAACAATGCAGCATGTTGTTCCCAGTGTAACAATGCAACATGTTGTCCCCAGTGTAACAATGGAAGGTGTTGTCCCCAGTGTAGCAATGCAACACGTTGTCCCCAGTATAACAATGCAACATGTTGACCCCAGTGTAACAATGCAAGATGTTGTCCCTAGTGTAGCAATGCAACACGTTGTCCCCAGTGTTACAAGGCAACATGTTGTCCCCGGTGTAACAATGCAAGATGTTGTCCCTAGTGTAACAATGGAAGACATTGTCCCCGTTGTAACAATGCAACATGTTGACCCCGGTGTAACAATGCAAGATGTTGTCCCTAGTGTAACAATGCAACATGTTGTCTCTTGTGTAACCAAGGAAATCATTGTCCCGAAGTCACACTTTGTTTCGAAGTTGAAGGTACCTACATAAATATCTTATCGAGTTATCCGAGGTACTACAGATCCGACGAGCAGCTTGGCATTCGTGTATGTATGTTTCTTGACGTGATTATTGACCGGTAATTTTGTATGCTGAGGACCTAGATAGTCTTCAGTCAGCGAGTCATCTAGTATTTCTCTGACATGAGTTTGTTAGTTTCGAAACCCGAAGCAGTCAAAGACATATGTTGTACATGTAATACTGTAATACATCTGGGCGAATGCTTTCCAGTACCTCTGGAAACAGATACTAGTATTCATTACACAATAACAAAATCACAACAAAGTGTGTTGTACAACAGAAAAGTGAAGTACCTTATGGATTTATATTCATACATAATAAAGGCAGCGATGAGGAACACATTACATCGGCGGTCTAGCGTAATGAACGCTTGATGCCAGGTAACAGGTGTTGTTTAGTCGCAGTCGTACAATAGACTCTGATTATGGATATTTATGTGGGTTTGTCGGGCTAATTACATATGTACATATATTATATATACTAGGTGCCACTGCTATAGTTACACACGACAAGCGTCAAAATTACCACAGGTAAATAATTTATGTCTTTTAATTTTACAAAATTGAACTCCAGTGCCATCGCATCAACTGGCATTTGGAATCCCCTAATAGTTCTTATTGTACCACATGTCTAAATTGGAATGGTTTGTATCCATGGTGAGTTGGTCACTTCGTTGATGATGAAAACTACCACCAAGTCAACCTAACCATGCAAAATCAATCCAATCAGACAACAATGTCGGACCATGCTGACACGAGGCACACATCCTCAGGCTTGTTGATTCACATGGACTGTCCCTGGCAGTTATCCCACGGTGTCATTAAGTTTTCGTTGAGATAGTCCTCTCATCTCGAACTGTATCCAATCAAACTCAAATCAGAGAGCAACTACTGACTTGTTGCAACTGACCACCGCATAAGCAATCAATTTCACAAACATGGTGACACTCGTCCCACACACCCAGAAACAATTAAAATAAATATTTGCTATTTTTTGTTTCAAGAGTTATGACGACGGCATGAAGATAATTGAGTCTGGAACAGAGAAGTGATTGATATCGCGACCACCTCTCTACACCTCCGGGTACGATGAAACGAAATTAATAGTCTGGGTCTGACAGGGTCTGACCATTTTGTCTCCTCTTACAACTCGCGTTGGTTGATGGAAACGTAATTCCAACAAAATTTCTGTTGATATTGCATGAATTGTTTTTGTGGAAGATGAGTACGGAAGAATCTTTACATCGTACAATGAAAGGATTCTGGGTTCTTATGGGGCATGGAATTGAATCTCGTAAGGGTAAGTCATTCAAACACTTCTTATATGCATAGACAACTTTGTGGCACAGTTCATTGTTATAAAAAACGGATAAAAACGAAGTAAGATTTTGAACTGTATGCAGGCGCAATATACATAGTCATCACATATGGATGCTTACCAGTAAAACATCCTGTGATTTTTGTATGAGAAAGAAACAAAGATATTCTACAGAACGTGTTACGTGGGAGCGAGGTGACACAAGAGCTATCTGAGGCATTGGCAAAGAAGAGGTTACTTGACACGATGTGTTCCTTAACAGTTCAATGAACTTGGATTAGAGACTTGAAGACAGTGACAAGTGCGTGGTGAAAACGCCACACAAATTGTGATAAACATCGGGGGTAGATCATACATTGAAATATGTTGATTTAGTATTTAGATCCATGTACAATAATCCTGAATATACCGTGAAATGATATCCCGACATGACGAGTACATGGTGTGTATTTTTTATATTTTTATATTGTTTTTATTTTCATGAAAAATAAAGTCTTCCATCATAACATTCGTTACATAATGACACATACAAATACATGAATATAATCATCCAACATATCAGGCTGTGACACAGTTAAACCTCCGATATATAATGGTGTATAGGGTGTTGTTTGTAGTGCCACATGGTGTGTATTTGACGCCGCTCTCAGCAATAGTCCAGCTATATGTAGGCGGACTGTAAATAATCGAGTCTGGGCCATACAATCCAGTGATTGACATAATGAGCATTGATGTGCTCAAAAGGAATTCGATGACATGCATCAACCAAGTCACCAAGCCTGACCACCTGATCCTGTTAGTCGCACTTTACAACAAGACGGGGCTGCTGAAGAAGCCAACTAACCCGGATCTTCATGGGTCAATTGCGATGATGAAAATAGGACAGGAGATGACCACACTTCTACAGGTCATCCACGAGCTACAGGTGATTAAATCACATGGATAAGAAACTCTTACCTGACCAGCATCCTTGCTCTGCAGCACGGTGAGAGATGGAACCACGAATACTAGCGTAACTCCGAGACTTATGGTAAAACACATAATGCATATCCTTTCATAGGGGCATCTCTTGCAGTCTTCCTCGTGGACAGACACAGTGATCATCTAGACTGATCCAAGGTTCTCGTAACAACATCTAATGAGGCTATCAACTTTCAATTACTTGTCGACAACATCCTACGTCTTTCATCATGTGTGTCTCTATCTTCTTTACCTCTATGATTTCAGACACAGTGGCGGCTGGGAAGTGTGGCGAACAGTGCGGTAACTTCAGCCAACACTTGAAAAAACTCCGGAAAAACTCGCGCATGAACATGCACGCACCGGGAGAATCAATCAAATCACGGCGATTTAAACCTGTTGGAGGAAGAGTTGTTTTGATGTTGTCAGTGACAAGACTCACACGTTCCACTGGTATACCATGCGGTGAACATGCCTATGTTAGCTGGTGAAAACTGTTGGCTCCGGATCGATCAGGGAATGCTGGGATTGGCGTTATCGTCGCCTGATTGACCGTGGGGGTTCATCCAAGCAGTGAAAGCCAGCTATAAAAAGTCAGCCTATAGGCAGGGTTCACATCGCTGATAAAGGCAGGGGTCCACTGCGACCTGTTGAATGGTTTTCACACAAGGAGTGAACAACAACAGTGTGTTTTTCGGGGGTACATGGATTTAATGTGTGTGTTTTGTTTTCCATATAAATGTTGAATCACGTTATTTGCCGATTAACCTGATCTTCATCCAATTAGGGGAGTTTGCTGGATGAACAAAAACACTAACGTTGTCGTCACCGCTTCCGCGTAGTGATCAGAGCTTCAGTGAACAAACCTTTATTGAAAAAAGTGTACAAACTCGAAAGGTTCTGAGATAATTTCATGTTGTCGAATATAGCATCATACAGTTGTCTTTATTTGATTTTGAAATGGCACGTAAGGATCAAAATCATTTAATACATATTGAGTATAGATGGATCAAACATTTTACCGATCCGTTCAATCCTTTTCGGAAGAGTGTAGGATTGAATTCTTTAGATTTGTTCACCGATAAGAAGTCTTCTTTTTCTCGCTAGGGCGGTGGGGTTGCCTAGTGGTTAAAGCGTCCGTTCGTCACGATGAAGACCGACCCGGGTTCGATTCCCTACATGGGTACAATGTGTGAAGCCAATTTCTGGTGTCCTCTGCCGTGATATGCTAAACGCGGCGTAAAAGCATACCCACTCACTACTCACTATTTCTCGCGATGCAACTAACCACCACAAACACATCCAGATAATCCCACAGTTGATACCATAATGCTTTCAAAAATATGCAACACCAACGATGATAATCAGAAAGGCGAAATAAGGTTAACGATTCGTCAAATGTAACACATGTTAAATTTAGGATTACACTTTCTCATTTATCACATTCTAGATCTTCTTTGTTGGGTTGAGTCCAATCTGGGATTTGAACCCACACTCCCAGAGTCAGGCACCTCGTCGCCAGCACACAAAGTCAACCGTCTAACCCACTCAACCACCGCGGCTTCCACAAAAATTGAAGGTGGACAACTGGTAGTCAAGATCACGGACTTTGTATACCCTTCTGACAAGTTTAAATAGACACGGCTTCCAATCTATGAATTGTGTATTCATACGGTTCGTCAAATCGTTTATTGTGTATTCACGTAGGTTGAGAAATCCTTTCTCTCCCACCTCCCTTCCATTCTGGGACAATCAATTCCAGTATTCAGTATTCTAATGTTCATCTCATTTCTGTCATTTCAATCCCCAAAAGACCAAATACTTCCAATGGACGAAGGTTGCCTGTCACAACAAATTGAAGATGTCACTCATGAGCCATGTTCATCAGGATGGAAATTCCAACAAAGTCTTTTCGTAAACAGAATGCAAAACATACAGGATGACCGTCAAATAGACAGGAGTACGTGATTGCGCCCGGCTTAAATTGAGAAGGAACAGCAGTCTAAATGCAATACGTCAGTCTGTGAAATGTAGGGCAGGGTATGGGTTTAAAAAGACGATCCATAATGAGGTGATTTGTGGAATTTATAGGATCCTGGTACATCTAATGGACGTGAGGACACTCGACTGGCACTACTTTACCTCCTTAATGATAAGGGTCCACTTACCGTGGGGTAGCCTTGTGGTTAAAGCTTTCGTTGGCCACCCCGAAACCCCTGTTCAAATCTCGACATGGGTACACTATGTAAAGCCCATTTCATGGGCAACCATGAAATTACTGGGATGGGAACTGCTGACAGTCAGACTGTGTAGGCCACAACACAATGCTAACAATTTTGGCATCATTGTAAGACCCCTAGCTACATCTCTGACATCAGCCCCTTTTTCAAATTATCTTTTTGTCAGCGTGTCTGGAACATGCCAGTCTCCTCTTGCTTCCTCGAAAATGATACATTTCAGTCATTTGATTACATTCCAAGAGGCTAGTATTTGCCTCATTTGATAGATAATGATTGTGCTTTATTGTAGACCTTCTGACAACTCCTGTAAATTCCACAGAAAATCGTATTTTGTTTTATAGGTCGTTTTACACTTATTCTCACAGAATTTCTTAAAGATCTAGGTCTGTTTAAATTTATATAATCTTTTGTCTGTTTGTCTGTGATTTCTTCCTACAACATACTGACATGATACCACGGTTATGCATGGTGGCCATGTGGACTGTAATGCTCGAGAACTGGAGGTCTGTGGTTCGATTCCCTGACCATGTCATAACAGAATACCACTGTTCTGTTCTGTGTCCTTTTACAGTCAACCGATTGACGAAAAGTAACTCAGTATTTTAATTATCATATATGTTACAAGAGGAGAAAGTAAAGTTCTTATTTAATTAATGAAACCAAGTTCGACTTAACTGAGGCGAGTTTTACACGGTACCACACTCGCGGTTTTGCTGTAAACAAATTTTAAGGCTGTTGTAAAACCAATAGGTCGCTTTACAGTGCACTGTACCTGATGATTAAGTAGTCACTAAATGTGTACTAGTTCCACAGTTCATTACAGCCCACAGAAATCAGTGCCCCTTCATGAAGTAGTGACGCATTGTGTGAACATGTCAAGGACGTATTCTCTACTAGCAGAAGTAATGACACTTAATGTTTTCTATAATATTGAAACGTACTGTACATATAATTGAAGTTATTACTTTTCTTTTCCTTTCGAGGTTTACCCAGCTACAGTTCTTGCAGGGTTTAGAAGATCCTTCCTCATCAACCAAGAACCATTTCCCATATGTGAGCTTTCTGTTTCCGCAATTTTGGAGAGCATGACCTTGGGCGACTTTGCAAAACTCACATGAGTTTATATTCACCAATTAGTTTATATCAGTGAGATTTCCGACCAGAGTGTGGGACAATTTGTGGATATCGAGAAATTATATCTCACCTTTAACTTTCTTACCAGTGTATCCTGGTTCTATTGAGACATTGTGTAACAGTGTTTCAAGTGTATTATTACAACATTTTTATTTTTGTGTTTCTCATCGCCCGACCGACTGTAGTTTGGCCGCTGACCCGAAAATAGAACAGTTGTAATTTGTTTCCACTTACTCTAACTCACTATGATACCCAGCGCTTAGCCATCTTGAAAATTTACCCTTGTCCTCTATCTACAACCTTCATCCAAACACTGACACACGACGTAGGCAATTAAATGAGAAAAACACTCCGGAAAAAAACCCTCCAACAACATTTTGGCTTTTAGCAATATTCCTCCAATATCACGGCGGGGAACACCCGAAATGGGCTTCATTGTACCCATGTGGGGAATCGAACCGGCTCTTCAGCGTGGGGAGCGAACGCTTTAACCACAAGGCTACCCCACCGCTCCTCTCACCATTAAGAAGACCAGCGGTTCTGTAGAGATCGCTTTCACCCTGGATTCTCAGTCTAGGCCATCCTGAAGCTTAATTAACTGTTACAGTGGGGTGAAAATTATCTCAACGCTCTCTTTGTTGTTATTATCACTGAGTATTCATGTCTTGCCAAGTATAATTCCAAATACAAACATGGGGGTCGAACCACTGATCTGCGGATACTGCAACGACTAAGGTCGCATAACGCCCCAGAAACCAGGTTCCCCCATGCATCAGCCACGCTAAACTATCAAGGCGAATTCCATACAGATCACGTAATGGCACCATGCGTATTGTACATGTTACGTATACAAGATCAACCTCGGCACTTACTTATCTGGAAAAGAGCATTTAAAATATGTCAGACCTACGATATGATTACCCGTGAATATCCGGGTTAGAACTACGGGTCCTAAGAGGACCAACGTAATCGGGTATCAGGCTCGCTGACACAGGTCATCGTATCCCAATTGCGTAGATCGATGCTCATGATGTCGATTACTGCATTGTCTGGACCAGACTCGATTAGTTACAGACGGCTGCAATATAGCTGGGATATTGCTGCGTGCGGCGTAAAACAACAAACAAACCTTCCATATGACACTGATGGTTCAGTGCTTCAGACTCCAGATACTTAGTGGTACCAGAATAACCTGAATTAACACCGATACAACACAGTGTGAAGACGCTAACAGTAGTGATAACATCTCACAAAGAAGTAGAGATAACATGTGTGTGTTTGTGTGTGTGTGTGCGTGTGTGTGTTTGTACGCGCTATTGTGTGCATGTTTGGGCGCGTGGTTGTGTTGGTGTGATTTTATTATCAATGTTTGTTTTACATAACAGTGATATTTTAGTCTCATAGACCATATGGCCAGATGCTGTTTTAAATCCCCGAACAACGAATTGTCTTTTATTGTAATTCAGCATGTGCAGAAATAATCTATATGTCTTCTTCTTTCTTCTTCTTCTTCACTATTGAACTGGCGAAGGTCACGGAGCTGCAGCTGTTTGGAGGAACAATCGGTTACAGTTAACAGCAAAAACAAAATTTGACACTGACATGAAGAAAATGTCACTCAGTCTTGAAATTAAAAGTAATGAACTAGCTTGTTCATTGGTAGGAAAAGGGAGATTGTCGAGCATTGATTTAAAGCTGCGGTGCGACGTTAAGAGCCTTGTGTTTCTAATGAAAGACAAGGATGCTCGGATTAATCTCCTGAGAGACGAAGTCAGGGCCAGTATTGGCACTGTTTCAAGGAAGGCGAATGACATGGATATTAAGTTGGACTGTGTCAACAAGAGGAGAAGCGATGTGTACACAGGGTCACCAATAATCGCTGATACAGTTAGAAGTGTTGA